AGAATAATGGCGAGATAGCTGGAACCAAAGCTGCCACTATCTCACGCTGCGCGTTCCATCGCTTCCAACAACGAGCATGCCACGCCAAACTCGAGATTTTAGGTGCCTTTATTTTTTTTTTTTTTTAATCTTTGCATTTTTTCTCAGTTGGGATCTACACACAGGCCGTCTGTTCACTGAAGGATATTGAGTTTATAGTGGCAAACCTATGCGGAGTTACTTTCATTTTCGCGGAAAGGCATATATACTGAACGAGACACCAAATTGATTCATATTCCCGTGCCTTTTTTTTAGGACACCATTTTGAGTTAAAATAACAGTAACGGTATCCCTCGGTATTTTGTTTCCTTTTTCAGCGCCGGGGGTCTCGCTACACATGCAGAATATAGCGAGTTCCACGGGCGTCCGTCGTCTCCCTTCGCTCTCTCTCCCTCCCTTTCTCCGCATGCGTTATTAGGGACCTTTAGCGAACCGTTGCCGTATTCCGCGTGCCGCACTACCGGAGCCTTTGAAGCATGCTTTTAAGCGCGCGCCTCGCGTTCACGGTGTCACCCGGGCGCGCGCTTAAAAGCATGCTTCAAAGACTCCGGTAGTGCGGCACGCGGAATACGGCAACGGTTTGCTAAAAGTCTCTATTCACCACATTCGGTGGGAGTTGATACCACGAGGGCGCCACAGTATTTGGTGCCCCAGTAGACTTCCGGTAGTGTATTTATTTATTTTTCAGCAACGCACAGCGGTCGGATAAGAAGAGTTTCCTTCAGAAAAGTTTCTGTAGTATGTTTGTAAGAACATTAGTGCATTCTACAAAGTAGTGCAAATAACAAAAGGAGGAGGGACAAATGGAAAAGAAGAGGAAAACCGGAAGCGCGCAGGGGTCCGCCAATAGGGGGTGGTAGTGAGCTTGTTTGCAAACAAATATCGGTGAATTGCCATGCCGTACGACTCATTGGAGCGCACGGGACACGCTCTCTCCAATTCCCTAATAACAACACACGGCATGCACTGACCAGCCCACGGGGCGTTTTCCTTCTCACGCGAGCTATCAAATGAAACCCTGGGGTCGTATTTCTCTAACGAACTTCCATTAAACGCGACCCGTTTTCTCTTCTTTCATTTTCACGCGTAGTCGGTTGAATCCTAAAGGATAAGAAGAAAAAAAAAAGTAAAGAAGAAATCGGCGAACCGACACGATAAAGTATGGGGTGGTGGGTATCGAGGCGGGTGACGGGACTCGCTTTAATGCCTCCCTTCATAAGTATAAGCGCGCTCGACGTGCGCAGTAATCGGGTGTCGAACGAAGGCGCTAGACTTAATACTCACGTCACACCGATCGGCAACCCGGAGAGCGCTTAGCTACGGCGCGAGCTATGGCGACATCTGCGCGACGCATTTGGAACCATTTCGAGGGAGGTCTCCGGTGGAGGCTGCTTGGCGCACTTCGTACACCGACTCTCGCTGCTCGACCGTCGCGGGCCTTGGCTTCCTTCGCCCCGCGTTTGTGCCTTCATGTGTTGTCCGTGCGTCCGCGCCACGGATTGAGTTTTTTCCGAGTTCGTCTGCTGGTGTCTCGGGTCGGTGCTAACGAGGATACTGTGTCGAGTTCGTGGCTCTATTTGCTCTCGTTTATTTTTCCTTTCGGTACAAGGGCGGGAAGAATCGTTTACGGGAATCGAACGACTCATTAGTACCGTGGTGGGACCTCGAGACGAATTAGAAGACCTGTAAGATAAAATAACGATAAAATTCAAAGAAAAAGAATGAAGGAGCAGTAGTATCGAGACTGAGAGCGGCGATCAGTGGAGATCTTAATTTGCGTGTTTGGGGAACGACTCCTCGGAGGCGACGCATTAGCACCGCGCTCTTTAATTAGGGTCGCGTGCGTCGAGACGCGCTAAGCGAAACAAAGGCGGGTCGGTGCCTGTTTCAACCGGTAATTCGTCTTCATTCTGAATCGGCGGTCGGGGCTCCCCGAGCAAGCGGCGACCCCGACGTTGTACAACTTCCGAAGCGCGCCCGAACGACCGTGCGCATTATTGGCTCGGCCCCGCTCGTTAGGCGCGCCGCCCTCTTTGCTCTTCGTCAAGGCGAGGTCCTCGCCTCGCGTCTCGCGCTTTTATCGAGACTCGGGCGCGAAGCTTGCGCTGGCCCGTGTCCCGACCTCGCGGGAGTTTGCGCCCCACATCGTTAGTTTTTGTTCGTTTTCGGGCGTGGATGGGTGACGCAAGCCGGGGTCGCCATGGAGACGAGGCGTTCTCCAAACCCTTGCTTTGTTTGGATTTAGTCGTGTGTCGTTTCATCGATGTAGATATCCCTCCTTCTTTGACGGCAGATCCAAGAGACATTAGGTGGTCTACGACAGCCGAGCATTTCACGTGTTGCCTGTCGGTGCACTGAGGTCTTTTTCTGTAGTCGGTGTCGATGCGAGATGGCAACCTTGTCCTCAACGTTCGCTCCCACGCAACAAAAAAAGACTAAGCCATTTAGACTACTGATGTACCGTCACAATCATGCTTAACGGCAGCAAATGCTAAGCCTACCCTTGGCCTACTTTGGTCTTCCTCTATGAATGCATTAAACAAAAGTGCATTGTGTTTTGTGCATCAAAGAAAGAAAAAGGGAGAAGTAATTAATTGGTATTAGCTGGCTTTTTTGGTTTTTGTTCGTGCTTTTACGAAATATTGTAGACGACTTGATTTTAGCGGCAACTTAAATTTCGCGACTTTTGAGGTATCGCCAAACATTTACCAAGTGAATATATCAGTCCATGGTGACGAATAGAGTAATGTAGCATAATGCTCTAAATCGCCAAATTTCGTACACCCCGAAACAACCCGAATTCTTTACTCGGATAGATTTGCGAAGCATTTAGCGCGCGAAAATAAGGCCGTTTCCATTACGGACATTCACACTTTTAATGCAAGCCATCCACGTTTTTTTTTTTTTTTTTTTTTTTTTTTGTGTGTGTGTGTTTTTACTCAGTATTGAAGGACTGCCATTAAAACTACTACAGTGGTTGGAGGCGTTCGGTTCGGGTACTAATCTAAGTGGTAAATTATGATGCCCGCCAGTACTATTTTGAAATAAAAAAAATGCGGAAGAGTGCCGTAGTGGTTTTCGCGCAAACTGTGTTTTCGCACAAACAGTGGTTTTCGCGCAAACCGCCAAACACATTCACTAAAGGGGTCCCCGGTCGGAACTACTTCCTATCCGATATTGTATATAGAGAGATAAAAAGGAACGTGTTGTGAATAAATCGTGTGGTGTGTGTACGTTTATACAGCCGGAAGTTAGTCTGCCATTGTGGGCCTGTGGCGTTTCAGCTGTAGGTGAGCAGTTTCGCCAGTGCGGTACAGCAGCTAGCCTGGGGTCTTCAGCGTGCACCATGCAGTAGTGATACACAACCGCACGCCGGTACGATGCTCATCCAGATCGAAACGGGCAAGGGTATGGATTGAACCCAGGACCCCTAAAAGAACACGTTCTGTTGCGCTTTCATGGCACGCGTGCCGCAGTCGGTTGGAGGGGAAGGGCTGTGGGAATATCGCGAGTGGAAAGAAAGCCTTCTTCGTTGTGACCCTCACCTGCTACGCCGCCGGTTTCAGTGTTGCCTACTCAAAAATAAAGAAAGAAGCCGCAAAAGGTTTCCCGGAAAACCGCTAAATTTGAGCTGCAGGGTATGAACGATTTTTACCATTGTTTACTGCTATAAACAGTCTTTAAAACAGCTTATGAAATAATAGAAGCCTTAGAAGGGAGCTCTCCTGTTTATTCGGATTGTTTCCACGCTCGGAACGATGTCCACTGCATGATCTTACTGTTACCAGGTGTTAACAGGTGTGCTGTCTAACCATACGTGCCGACCTACGTTGAGCACAGTACATCCTCATATTTCTGGTCCTTTGTACAGATTATGGTGCCGGTTTAAAGCTTCAGTATCCAAATTCACACGCTTTGAAGAAGTTGTAATCTCCAGCAGAGTCATCTAACTCGTTTGACTTCGCTTGGAAGGACCAGTAACCATGCAGTCTCAAAGTTAAAAATCCTTTAGCCCGCTTTTTTTTATAAATTGATGTTTGAGCTTACTGGGCCCACGTCGCCTGGCAGACTTGGAAAATAAATTCTTGCAATGACACCCAAATTAGTTCAGACCGTATTTCAATAAAAAAAATAGTAACTACAGGCAAGCTGGTATGTATTAATTACGATGTTGAAACGCTTACATGGGAAGGGGCTTGAAAAGATAAATTTAAAGAAAAAAAAAAAGAAGTTATAATTTGTTGACGCTGTGGTCGACTTTGGGAGATGGACATAAAAGCGTGATACGAAATAACTGTTCTTAGCTTCTTAGCTGAGTTTGAGACGCTGTCAGTCACCATTAGTCTGTCCTTTCTAATTTATATTCAAGTTCCTTCCCAGTGTCGTGGTTTAGGCATCGTGTTTAAATATATTCCACCGTAATATCTCAATGGCGTGGCAAGCGTTTTTGTCACTGAAAACAATTTTATTGGGTAAGTAGAAACGACGAGCCTGTGCATCTGACTTACGACACAAATTAAGGTATTTACGATTGGTGAATTTACCTGAAGAACTTTTTAAACCGCGAGAGAAAACGCTAACATGACTTGAAAAACACTAACTACAAGTCGACGATTTTGTCCCACTAGGCAAACCATAAAAACGCTTGATTTAGCGGGAAAATTACTATATTGGCAAACCTGACCGGTTTCCCTCAAAACACTTTTTTTTTTTAATGAGCGTTGTTGATATGCATGTGTAATGCTTTTGTCGGCGACAGCCAGGTTTAGACTACGATGAATTCCAACTGAAAATTGGCAGCGTTGCAAGACCAGCGTGCATTCTGAATCCACATCACTCGTGTGTTCTAATGTTGCCTCTTTTCTTTCTTTGTGGGCGTGTGTTTTGTTAGAGCTTGCCAATGTGTCGTCTTCTTTCTCTCGCTGGTCTCGCTGGCTCACCGCTTGTCTTTCCTCTTGCAGGGATGACCGCGTGAACCGGGAAGGCTGAACTCTTTCTCTTACTCTCTCTCTTCCCTCTCCTCAACGCTGGTTCCCTCGTGCTACGTCACTTTCTACGCTGCTGCTGAGGTGAGTGCGCTTTGTCCTCTCTGCGCTGCCCGCTTCGTCCGCCGGGTTGCGACCGTCCGATCGAACCTTCGCGCCCTGCCCACTGTTGCTTGCTTGTTTGCGGAGAATACCGGCTCCACCTCGTGGCTATTCTCGTACAAAACACAAAGAACAAAAATCTCAAAAAGAAAAAAAGCGATTGCGGAAACTATAAAAAAAAAAAAAAATGCGTTGTTATACGTAAGGCTGAACAGTTGCCGCGGCATCGTTGTCCATCAAGAGTCTGGTTGTTTTCACGTAAAACGAATTAACAATAATGTTTGTGTAATAAGAGCACTCGTGGATCTTTCTAGCATGATCGCACCGTCCTGAAATGACAGTTGACTTTAAAATATACTTGTATCTTTAAATGCATACCGATCTCATGAGAAGGAATTTGATGAAAAACTTTCAGTTTATAAGTTTTCCTTCTAACGTTCAATTATTCCCACACTAGCATTATTTTATGCCAGGGGTGCTTGTTTATCGATAATATAGTTATTACGGACAAATTGTGCCTCTTGATTTTTTCTAAATTTTCAGTTAAGTAAGTCTGGTAACGAGTTCATATCGCACACGCGCATTACGCATCTTTAAAAATTCTGGGAAACAAACAAAATATAACATTTTGCTAAGCTTACGGTATACTCAATGCGCTTATTGCATTGAAGTAACTGGGTAAAATAAACTCCAAGGTTCTTTACGCTACATGGTACTGCTAGTCGTTGCAATCAACAGGGAGTTTAGTAGGTCGTTTTGAAAGCCCCACTGCGCTTCAGAGCCTGCATCGAAGTGGCAAGGTGAGCTCCCGTTACAAATAGCGTGGCCTGAAAACACGGTCTACTAAAACCACCCATGTAGGTGATCGTGCTTTCCCATATTTAGGCTCACGTTTCATTCATCCCACCGGCGTGCTATCTTAACTAAATTCCTTCGCACTACTTCCGTCCTCTTGTAAATTTGTTTACCTATGAATTAAACAGTTATCTACAAAGGGGTTTACCCGAGAATGAACATTTTTACACTGTCATTAATATCAATTAAAAATAACGATGTTTTCCCCGTTAACGGTGTGGCTCTAGTTGTACAGCTGCGTTGAGGTTCCTTTTTCTTTCGTTGTTTAGGTTTAGACCTTGTTCGATCACGGGTAACTTAAACTTGGCGACCAATATTTTTTTTTTTTTTTTTTGGAAATCACAGCAAAATTTTTGTTATACTTTTTTATAAGGTGCTTTTTTTTTTTTTTTGCATTTGTTGGTTATATTACGAGGCATACACGAAGGTTTATGCGCGGGCAAAGCAAAGTCAGCTTTTTGGTGATCCGAACAATTTTCTCCTCCGTTGCGTGTCCACATATACGTTATTTCCTGCGTTGTTATTGACGGCTAGGTGTATAACAGGTTGCAAACAATGCGCTGTCCGTTCTTTGTTTTCGTAGTGGGGAGGATACTCTTAGAAAGCTCGTGCCACAGATTCTGTCCAATGAAACCTGCCCTTCAATACAAGTGGAGAGCTTCTCGGAAGGGCCCTGTTTATTCCCCATTCACAGAAAACAATCCCGCGAACGCTGCTTTTTATTATTATTATCATTAAAAGAAGGTTAAAGTCAACATTCCGATATTTAGATCCTTCCCATACATGGGGCGCTGTGCAGCGCACCCCATAGGTAGTGAAAATCTTCCTGCCTGAGGGCACGTTCAGGACGACTCTTCCCGCTGTGAATTTCTTCGAGAAATGCGACGATTGTGAATAATCTGCACTTCGACATGGAGGTGGTCGCGCTTTCTCGCGTCGAGTTTAGCGTTTATTTCGTCAGGCGTATACCTACCGGAGTACTGAAATAGAGAAAAAGAAAAGGTAATGAAGTACATCGCTGTATGGTCGCAACGCTTTCTCGCTACGTTAGTTATGAAGTACATCGCAGTATGGTCGCTGACAGGATGAGGACGGCAGGGCGTCTTTTTTGGACGTACGGCCCCTGACACTCGTCAGTTGTCTTCCGCCGTGTTCTCTGACTGCGCGTGCACGCTCGAAGCACGCTCGAAGGCCGGAAGCTTGCGCTGGAGGCGGCACAACTGACACTCTTCCCTCTCGTTCTCATCCTGTGAGTTACTGTGTCGACGCAGATAGAGGCGGCTTTTTTTTTTTTTTCTTTGTTTTATGTACGCGTTACTTTTATTAGCGAGTTGGAATAAGGAAATGCATAGTGAACTTTGCGGGTATTGTCTTTCAAGTTCCGAAGTTAATTAAAACCGCCAGACTGCCCAGCCGGATTAGTGCGCCTTCTATACTTGGCTCCGCTGTCCCTCGCACGATCGGGGAGACGGAGGACCCGGAGACAGACGGGTAGAAAAGAACAAAAAAGGGAACACACGACGCGCCGAGGGAGGAAAGAAGAAGCAAAGAGAGTGGCGCGTAAGAATGGAACTCAATCCGATTAGTGGAGCTCTCATTTCGAGGCGCGCCACGGCTGGATTATGCCCCTTCGACCGAGACCCGATTGTCTCCCATTTTACGCTGATTTTCTTTTTTCTTTTTTTTTCTTTTCTTGCGTTTTGTCGTTCCGCGTTTAGCCAACCGCCCAAATTGTTTTCTTGAACGCGTGCTTTCGGCTATCGAATTCGCGAGAAAGACTGCTATAAAAATACGCCGATGCGCTTACGCCGCAGCGCTCTGGATTCCTTCCCCTTTACACCACGTTTATCTGATCTTTCACATGCCGCGCCGGTAACACTCGCTAAAAACGCTGGCGAGGTGGCGCGAGCTACCGCTCTTATCGAGGGGTTTGGCCGTATACGCCTCGCAAGTGGGCTCGTTTTCGTCTTCTGCGCATGAGAAAGGAAGTAGCGGTGACGTCAGAACGCCGAGCCCTGCTTGGCTGATCGCGACCCCGTATCTGAGCGTCGTCTGCTCCTTTGCAACGTCGTCTGCTCGCAACGTCGTCTGCGTCTGTCTTACCTTTCCTGCGGCTTTCGGAGCGAACTCGACATCGCCTTTAAGAGAGGGCAGACGAAATAACTCGAGCGGTACGTTGTTTTTGTCTAACAACTAGCAGACGCGCATCAAGGAGGGAAGTCAAAGGACTCACTGGCGAGGTGTCCCGAGGCGCCGAGGTTTGTTTGCTATGAACCGAGAGTGAGCGTGTTAGTGTTCGCAGTTCCCTCCCAAATACTTTTTCCCTCCTTTCGTGTGCGGCGAGACCCCTCATTCTTTAACGGCGTCGGTGGGTTGGCGCAGTTAACGTCGTCTGCTTTACGTCTGCTAGTCAAAGCGATGGCTGCTTTACTTTTCCTGCGTCTGTCGGAGATTCACCGCTTTTTCACCGGCGAGAGTCACCGTTGCCTCGGGAAACAAGGAGATAACAAGGGGAAGAAATTGACCTCTTAATCTAAAATTGAGGTCAGCGATCAAAGTATAGTACGGGAAGGGTTCACAAGGGTCGCGCGGGCATATTCCGTTCAGCACGCCAGCCGGTCGTGGGCAGACGGTCGCCGAGTCGCGGAGTGCCTGCTAGACCTAACTGCCGTGCTCGCTTGGTGGCGTTCGGTGGAATCGTGGCCGTTGAAGCTTTTTCCGGGTTGTTTGTGGATCCAGCGTTCTTGTTCGTCGTAGTCTGTTTCAAGTACTTTTTTACTTTTTTTTTGCTGCTTGTAGTCGGGACGCGTGAGAAGCGCACGTAGAAAAATAAACGTCCGTGGGTCGTCGCGACCGCGACGCTGTCGGCCATGCTGATTTGATCGTAAGAAGTGCGTAAGACAGCTTCGGAGCTGTCGTAGGATTTCGTCGTAACCTGCGCAAAACGTACGAAAATTTCGTTTCGTGAATACGAATTTGTTCTCAAGTTTTGTCTTACGCACATTTTTGGCGTAAGATCGTTTCGTGAATCTGGCCTCTGCACTTCCGAAAGTCGCAGGAAAGGTAAGACAGACGCGGACGACGTTGCGAGCAGACGACGCTCAGATGCGTCGACGCTCAGATGGTCGCGATCAGCCAATCAGGGCTCGGCGTTCTGACGTCACCGCTCTGCCCAAGAAGCAGGCGAACTTGCCCTCCGCATTGGTGTATCCATCGGGTTAGGCGCAAGCTCCTTGTCGCTCTGTTTCGCGTTGGCATTGTGTTGGCCGTCGTAGCGTGGTACCTGGAACGCGTCTCCGACTGGTGTGTCTACCGCGTCTATAAAAAGTGGTCCCTCGATTTCCGCCTGGTGACGTCATAGAAGTGTCATGCTGTCGCCGGTCGCGATCCTGGCGGTGTCCCAGTGGCGGTGATAGACGAGGCAGACGCCTCTTCTCCCGCGTGTCTCCCTCCAGTTTGACGGTCCGCGGAAGCTACGGCAGCCAGGAGTTGGGACGCCACGACGACAGCGACACTCGCGTTCGCTCGGGCTTTTCGCCGGCATTTTTATGACGACGCGCCAGGATCGCGACGTCCGACGGCGCGACAGTCGGGCTTTAGGAACCGTCATTTGTTGGCACTTGGGGACGACTTTTGACGTGCGGACAGCACAGGACGCTAAACACACCAGTTGGAGACGCGCTGCGGGCACCATAGATGTACTGTTGCGATTGGGATGTGCGGGCGGATGACAGGACCCAATATGAATGTGGTGTCGAATCTGCGTCTGTTTGAGTAGATCATTCCGGCATCGCCGATGACGATGCATGCGCAAAGTCGTCGGCAGAGTATGGGTCAATAGCCCTGCCGTTCTCACCCTATTTGTGACTATATAGGAGGGCGCCATTTTGGCATTTGGGCTCGCATTGATTGGACACGAGGCCCTGTCGAACGCGGTGCGCAGTTGCCCAATTAATCTCCGTCTGCACTCGGTCTCGCCGTGATGACGTCGAAATCCAATTATTCTATGCTCCTGTTTACTCCTAGCCCGACGTGAGCCAGTTCGACCGCCACGTGATCTGCGGTGCAGGATCACGCCGCATTCACTGTGCGCAATTTACCGGTAGTAAGAAGCGCGCAAAGACGAC